TCGTTTTGTTGCTTCCTGGGCAATGGATTTTGCCAAACTCCCCGGAAAGTCCACCTTGTGGGATCTCTAATATAATCAGATTTTATACTTATTACTCTTACGTATTGTCTTTTTTAGATACTTAACCGCTTTTAAAGATTTCTTCACGTCTCTTAAAACTTAAACACAAGATCTTTTTTTTTATAAGATTCTTAAGTAGTATTAGTATCAATTGATTGCTGAGAGAAAATAATATGTAAGAATAATGAGTATAAAATCTGATTATATGAAGTTGAAGTTGAGGAAGAGAGGAAAGGGAGTGATGGCCTTTCAGTAATTAAATTACTTAAGGTAGCCTGAAATGGTCACCCTTGATTTTGTAATGATGATCTTGGTTCTATGAAGTAATTTCTCTCTGCAGCCAAAAAAATAAATTAATAAACGATCTGTCCAGTTGGGGAAGAGAGGAAGGGGAGTGATGGCCTTTCAGTAATTAAATTACTTAAAGACGACTTATTATTAGATTAGTTTTCTCCATAAAATCAGACTGACAAATGGCAAATAAAGAGCCTAGTGTCTGAAAGAGAATATGAGAAAGAGTGATTCGAGTTTAGAATTTGAGTTTTGTTACAGTAAAAAACTCTAAAAAATAATCACATCTAACTTTTTTATTACAGTAAAAAGCTCTCACATAAAATCACATCTCAACTCGAATTAAAAACTCGAATCAACGAATTGAACGGGAATTAAGGCCCATTTAATTAACTATTTGAGTTTTTAATTCGAGTTAGGATGTGATGTTATATGTAAACTTTTTATTGTAATAAAAAAGTTAAATGTGACTGTTTCTTAGAATTTTTTACTGTAACAAAACTTAAAATTTAAACTCAAATCGGTGAAATAAACAGGACCTTAGAATCCTTCTTGGTTACTTTATTAGGCCCCCCAACCCAAGTGTCCACATTATTACTTTTTTCTAAATTTGTAGTTATGTCCCTATTTAGTCCCCCTAAACTTTTTGAAATTTCAAAGTGTCCCCCACTTTTTCTTATTTTACCCCTAATTTTTATATAATTAGCATTTTTTGCATATGTTTTTAAAAATTTCATTCACACTATTTGTTTTTCCTTTCAGTTATATTTTATTATTTAAATTTTTTGTTTGTATTCATTATAATTTCAAATATAAAAACCTAAAAAACCCCATTGATTAATAGAAATTAAAGAAACAAATAATAAAAGAAAAATTATGAGATTTTGATGAGTATTTATTATATTATTACTTTAGTTTAGAACTCTAGAACAAAAAAAAATAAAAAATAAAAAGAAGTTTAAAACCTTCATTTAACTCGAGCTCTCCTGAACAAAATTTTTGGCTTCGTCACTGTATATCTCTGCTAAGCCTTGGTGTTATTTAAGAATAGGAAAGCTTAATAGAGATTGATTTAATTGATAAGTATCTTAAAGAGAAATAAGAAAAACAAACAAAATCAAATTATCAGCCATTATATGCAACTTTTCATCATTTTACATTATTTTTATTTTTATTTTTTTTATCTCTTATAAATAATGAGAAAGTACAATTAACATCAAGAAATTTTTAAGCATCTCAACTAAGGCACCCGCTAGGGAAAACCATCATCTATTATTTTCTCGGTTATCCACTCAATTATTTTATTTAAAAAAAAAGTCAATAAAGATACAAATAAAATGTTGAAATGCAGTGAGATAGAAAACCCGGCAGTAACAGAGGAAAGAACAACAACAACAACAACAAACGAAATTTTCTTTTTTTTAGAAGAGAAAAAAAAGGAATTAGAAATTCCTAAAATCTTCTAATAACAAACTTGGAATGTGCAATAATCATAATTACAAAAATTCGATGGAGAAAAAATCGAAGAAAAGAAAAGGAGTGCATGATACTGAGAACCTAAGAGCAGTTTCCAGTTTCCAAGACATACGAGACCAAAATCTTCCAAAGCCACAAGTACCCTTCTTTACGAAAAGCCATTCTTAAAATTCTATAATCATGGACACAAGATATATGAATATCACAAGCAATTTGTTAACAACAACAATCCAAAAGAATAAGCAATAAAGAAAAAATGATTGAATTTTTCAAAAACATTACTAAATTAAGCTTTAAAATAATTGTGATCTTAGCAAAAACACCTGTTGACCAACAAAATGATTGAAGGTTTGTTTGGATTGGCTTAAAAACGCAATTTTTGACTTATTTAGTCTAAAAATTGCTTTTGAATCTGTTTAGATAGACAATCTTAAAGTGTTTTTTTTTTTAAGCATTTTTAGAATAAATTATCTATTTAGTGATTATAAAAAAGTGCTTATGAAAAGCTTTTTCATTTACATTTTATTTGTGAACAACAAATTAAATATCTCATCTATATCTTTTTATTACATTATTTTTTATAATAATAAGTGTTTTTGACTTTTTTATCTAAATAAATTCAAAAGCTCTTATAAAAGTATTTTTTTCAAGTACTATCCAAACACTAATAAAAAAATCTCTAACTTGTGTTTATCTTCTTTTACTATTTAAAAGCACAAACACAAACTATCCCAAACGGCCTTGATAATCAACATTTTGGATAGTCAAAGCTTTCAGCCTAACAATCTAATTTGTCATTTTGGATAGTCAAAGTTTTCAATATTTGGGATTCTTGATCAATTCCAATACTTGATTGCTTCTTATTGTTTCAATCACATCAAACAAGAATTAAAACTTTTTGTCAAATACGAACGCCGCCATGCTAGAAGTTAGACGCTAAACAGTGTCTAACACTATAATCTCTAATGAAACGTCGCGTCCAACTTTACTTAGCAATTACGGATTATTGGTTATATCATTTGTATATGAGCAATGTGATCCAACATAATCAAGGTGATGAGTTTACAGTCTCGGATCATTTCTATTTTCAAAATACATCAAATCGTGAATATTAATTTCAAATATATATATATATATTGTATATATACACGATCATCTTATTAATAATTTAAATAACTAAATAGTGTTTAGCACATAAATCTAGAATTACATGACATTAATGCCTTAGGGTTCGGTAAAGGGGTTCAAACTAGACTGGGTTTCTCTGGTTTGAACCTTATGGGTTTTAAACTCAAGTTAAAATTTGAGAATTCAAGAGGAATTTGAGTTTAAAAATAGTCTCGTTCGTTTCGCTGATTCAAGTTTAGAATTCGAGTTTTACTCACAAACAGTCACATTTAATTTTTTTGCTACAATAAAAAACTCTTACATAAAATCACATCTTAACTCGAATTCTAAACTCGAATTAACAAAACGAACGAGTTTTATTAAATGTCATATCAAATGATTCAAACTTTATTTACTTTTTATAAATAAATAAGAGTTTGAATCTGAAACTGAGTTTAAATCCCGTAAACATTCCAATTAAACGACCCTATACAAGAGACAAAAATTTAGTGTTGAGACTCAAAATAGTCATCATCCATTTATCCTTCAACTCCCAAGGAAGGACCCGCCAAAGAATTCTTGTTTGGAGCGTCCGCAACGTGAGTGGAGTCGTACTCTAACCAAATTAGATTCCACCAACCCTTCTAATCATAACCAATTAAATTCCCTGAATCCCTATGAGTAATCATTGCTCAAAAACAAATTAAGAAGTTTCCCAAGGGTAAAGCAAAATAATTCTTAAAATATATATATATATTTGGAAGTAGGAAAAACTTTAGTCCACTCAAGAAGGAAATATACCAAAATACGTGTCCTTGAAGTGGGGCTTGAGTTTGACGACTAGGCACTTCAAATTATAAATGGCGTTATTCATTCATCCAATAGCATTCAACGGAGGAGATGAAAACAAAAACACCTTCAGAAATTGCCATACATGTGTTTTTAAACAATTCAATGATCTATTATATGAAATGCATAAATTTGATAAGGATTTGGAACTCACAAGTATAACAATCTCATCCAAAATACATTTTTTTGGATTATTATTATGAACTGTATACAATAGTGAATAACCTGTACCAGACTATGAACTGCAATGCGTTCGTGAGCATACTATTTTAGTATATCCAAATATTAAATACATCCAGTTATTTGGCAACGCAGAGTATCTTTTACTAATAGCGTTACAATATTCCTTCAACAAAAGCAAGAGTTACATTGAGAAGTAGAAATGAGAGAATCAAGAACATACTACAGTTAAAAATTCTTCATTTTACCGATTCGAGTTTTTAATTTCAATTTTACTACAGTTAAAAATTCTCACAAAAAGTCAAATATAACTTTTTCTAGTACAGTAAAAAATTCTCATAAAAAATCACATATTAACTCAAATTAAAAACTCAAATCAACGAACTGAACGAAGATAAAAGTTTTAGCCACAGTGCGAAATGCAATCCTCAGCCACTATTCTACTTTTGTGGGACAGAAAGGACAGTGAAAAAAACAGAGCAAACAAGTGTGATAAATAAAATAAACACAACAATGATAACCTATTCAATTTTGGCAATTGAACTCCTATCTTCATTATCCATCTTAAGTAGCGAAAAAAAAAAAAAAAAAAAAAAAAAAAAAAAAAAAAAAAAAAAAAGAAGTCAATTTCGACCTTGAGAAAACATATTCCCAAGGACTTCCACAGAAACTCATTTGTTACCAGATCCAAGGAGACAACTGAGTATAAAATCTTCTCTGTTTCCACAAATCATGTTTAAACTCTCGGATGTACATGTTCCATCGTCAAGAAATTTGTTGTTTTCATTCTTTTTTGGTATAAAACTTAAACTAATCAGAATAATCAGCGAATGGATAGAGCATCACTAAAAATAAATATTGCATGACGAGCTACGGAAAAAAAAATGTCGAATTGGAATGAAAAATATAGAAGACATCTTTTCTTATGCAAGATTGATTTATCTAATTCCAGTAAAAGCTCATCATGAATTAATTTATTTGAAGTAGCATAAAGCAGTGACAAAAAAAAAAAAAAAAAAAAAAAAAAAAAAAAAAAAATTCCCCGAAGCTTTGGCAACAGTTGAACAATCTGAACTAGCTTGGATTCAAAAAGCAGCAAGAGCTTTCAAGACTGGAAAAATATGAACAAGCTTGTATTTACATTTTATGCCACAATCAATATGCAACTCCCAAAGTATGGTTTTCATTCTCCAGTAGTATAACTTCGTGTCACCTCATGATGTTGATATGCTCCATTAATACCAGCTAGTGCAGGTGTTCAATGGAAAATTCAATCTCGTCAATCACCTTCTATCTCCCACCTGTACATTGTGGAATTGGAGCTCTTTTTTTTTTTTTTTTTTGTTTAAATTATGGTCTTTGCCATTGTTTGATTGTTTTACTCTAAGCGGACTGCAAAAGTCACCTCCCCAGCAGCTGTCTTGTCATAGTCGATGCTGGCCTCCGGGGTGTCTTCCTCACTGGGCGGAACGAGCTGCCAAAAGAGCGGTAGGTATTTGTCCCATTCCTTCAAAATAGTGGCGCCTTTGCTGCTTCCAGTTTTTTCCTTCACCAAATAAAATAGCAAATCAAAATAGTGTTTTTGGAAATGAAACCTTTAGAAAGAGAGGATGTAATAACATAGAAAGTCGTAACATACAGTCATATTTTGGTTTCATTAGGGGAAAAAGAAAATGATGTGGAGCCCAAAAGTCGGGGAATCCGTAATACTAGTTCAGACTTAAAAACTTTTAGTTAAAGATGCATAAGCACATGCATGCTTGATCATGCAGTTGATTTGGTGAACTTACAACGTGGGCTTCAATAAGGTTCTTCAACTGCATCTGCCCAACGGGGGCAGTCACTCTTTGGATCTTTACAATCTCTTTATTTACCTGTTCACGTATCAGATCATAATATTGATATGGTGATTGAAAGAAAAAGTATATTAGACAAGAGCAAGTAATACTTATAGACTGCATTCAATTAGGAAATGTGTAATATATACTTTATCATAAAGGGAGGAAATAAGAAATGTGCATAAATAATATTGCTTCCCCAACATGAACTACGAAGATCAAAAACAGGAAATTATATGAAATGCATGCTGGGAAAATTTTGATCTCATAAAATCATGACACTACTGCTATAAGAATTGAAACTACTCGAAGAAAACTACAGAAAAAGAAAATTAACGAAAAGGAGTACTAGAACGAAGAAAGAATAAAATATGAAGCAAACAAAGGAAGAATAAACTGTTGTAATGATAGTTGTAACGGAACTGGAAAGGACAAGATACATAATAGAAACACCAAAAAAAAAAGAAAAAGAAAAAAGAGAGAATAAGGGTAAATGTACCTTGGGGATAAGAGTGTCATCATCATCAAGAATGTATCCCAAACCACCAGTCATTCCAGCAGCTACATTTCTTCCCACTCTGTCATAAGTCAATATAGCAGTTAAATTCTAACCCGTTCCTGTTAATGTTCTTGTAAGAGTATGGCAGATGAAGAGAAAAGTTACTCACTTTCCAAGTACAACTACGCATCCTCCAGTCATGTACTCGCAACAGTGGTCTCCAGTTCCTTCAACCACAGCTTGTGCAAGTGAGTTTCTGACAGCAAATCGCTCCCCAGCTTTCCCTCTAATGAATACTTGACCACCAGTTGCACCATACAAGCAGGTATTTCCTACAATAGTTGCATCCTCCGGGCAAAACCCAGTATTCTCCACTGGTGTAACAACCAACTCACCTCCAGCCATACCCTTGACACGTTTATTTGCCAGCACCAAATTTATATCAGCAAAAATGAATACGAGGAACTAAATTCTAACCTTAGACTAGAGCAAATGTAAATGTTATCTAATAAGGTTCGAACATCAAGTAGCTTATCTTGGGATAATTCAACTGAATATCACTCTTGGAGTCATGTTAGTTACCCTAAAAAAGGTTAAATCTTGAAGGAATTTACAACAATGCAATCTACCATATAATCAACTTAAAAGGTAGCTCAATTGAACGAATCAAATGATTCAAGCCTTTGTCATGTTAGCTTATATGAGAGAAGATTTGATCATCATACCTTTCCTACATAATCATTAGCCTCTCCAACTAGCCGAATGTTCATTCCAGGTGTCAAGAAGCATCCAAATGACTGCCCTGCGCTTCCGTTAAACCTGAAGATATGAGGAATACTCATTCAGCTTGCATCTAAAGCAGTCAATATCACGGCCACTCTTACGGAAAATTATAACATCTTACGTTACGTTCAACTGCCCAGCAAAACCAGTATCCCCATATTTCTTTGCAACTGCACCAGCTATGCGTCCACAAACAGCACGATCTACATTGTATATACTTATGCTCTTATTGACCACCTTTTCATTCTCAATGGCATCCGATATCTACACAAATACAAACAACAACATTTCAGCAAAGGGCTAGAGGTAACAACTACTAGCAGCGGAAATAGCAGAATAATACATCTTTTTTGCACAAAATACTTGCACTAAAAAACAAAATAAAATTCAGAGCTTCAAGGGTCCTCTTCAAATCAACTGTCTCAGATTGACTCTTCATTTCAGGTGTTTACAATCAAACTTATTTGCCCTCTCTTCTCTTCAATTTTTTTAGCAGCATATCTTCAACTTCATGATTTGTACATAAATGCACTAGAGTGTGCTCCCCTAAAGCTTTCTGCCAAACTTTGGATTACGTACTAAAGAGAGAATAATATAAAGGAAGATATCCACATTCCACAAAATTGCATAGACAGTATGATATGGAACATGATATTAGACAATGGGATATTTGATTTATCTTTGAAAGCAAAGAAACTTAATAAATAAATAAATTCACATCAATTTGGATTAATTATATTTATTTGGTTTTAGTCCTTTGACTGAATTGGCAAGTTGCCCCCCTAAACTTTTGATCGTGGCAAATTACCCCTGAATTTAGTAAAATGCTAGAGAGTACCCCCAATTGATGAATAACATTGAAATTTGAAAGAAAAACTCCTTCATACACATGACATGATGTACTCCGATCGTCATCTTAAATTTTAGTCTCTTCCTTCAAATGAGCTCATGTAATGTGTACAAGGATGCCTTCGTCCAAAGTTTAACAGCTGTCATCGATTTAGGGCACTTTACAATATTTATTTCGTTAAATTCAAGGTGTATTTTTCCACAATTAAAAGTTTAGGGATAACTTACCAATATTGAACAGTTCAAGAGGCAGCCGTACCAAATACTCTTTTTTTGAATTAGGCTTCTAACTTCCTAGTCAAATGAGAATAGCTTGTCTATATATAGTTATTATGTTAATCATTGAAGACTAAGATGAATAGAACATATAATTGAAATTGTCTCCCTTGATTATATCTCCCTCTCATTCTTCTTTCTATAATTCTTTCTTCACTATGTTCGCATCTGGTGTCAATTTATGTAACTCATGTGCTCTATGAAATCTGTCTTCTACATATGCCCAAGCAAGCATCCTTTTCTCTGCTTTTTTATAATTATCATTGATAAAAAGAAAAGAAATTCAGATTTCAACATAGAATGATATCATATGCTGAGAAATACCAATATAAGTACACAAACAGTATGCGAGTTTACTCGGAAACCCCATTGAACGGATAGCTAATAATTTCTATCCATTTGAAGGCCGTCGACAAATCAGGTCAATACAGCTGAATCTAGAGGTAGTAAGTAGGTAAATGCATTATTATTAACTCAAAGAACCTACATCAGTTAAAAAGTATCTTGTACCTCTGGATCTGCCAGTAAAACATCATCTAGAACGGGACCATTACTGTGGACATCCTGATTCCTAATTTCAGTGCTGCTCCATTTTGGTAACCCGACACTCTGTAATTAAAATGAGAAGTTAAGCCGTATAATATTAAATAAGAAATTAACATGCATGCAGAGAAAAGAAATTAACGCAGGTTCAAAAAGCCTACCGAGGTAATGTAACTGAGATCCAGATGCTGGGTTTTCACCAGAGATATATCACGTGGTCTTAATAAATCCGTCCGTCCAATTAAATCGTCCAACTTTTCATATCCTAATTGTGCCAAAATGCCTCTTACCTGGGAAAATATTTCAGAAGCAGAAAAACATTAGAAATATTGAGAAAAAGACAGGTTACAGGGTTGCACCAAAAGAATGTGCAAACAACAACAACAACAGCAGCAGCAGCAACAACAACGATAATGACAATGACTATGATAAAATGGCTTTAGTCTTTATGTATAATTACTTCAATAATAAAGAACTGGCTTCACATATGAGAAAATAAGGTGGATGACCGGTTTTGTCCACCCTTTTCTAATTAATGGCCAAACTCTTTTTTTTTTAAAGATAAGCGACCATTTTTACAATGATTTATCACCGATAAACCGGTTTATTATTGATTTACCAATGGTTTATTAGATATAAACAAGTAAATTACTTTTTTTTTTTTTGGAAGAGAAACAGAAACCTTTATTAGAAAAGGGGTGCAGTAAAAAGGAAGGAAGAGTTTTCTACACCAAAACCAGCTCCAAAAATACAAAGGGGGATAAAAATAGAAACCAAACTCAACCAAAAAACAGAGGGAAAACTATAAGAACGGAGCCCAATTCCTAACGAAATCCAAAAATATCGGTCGACCAAACTCTGTCCCAATAAACCCATAACAAAACCCAGTGTTTAATTTTGTCCCACAACACCAAAGAATCTTCCCTGCGATCCTTAAAAATTTTGCTATTCCTTTCTAACCAAATGCCCAACAAATAGCTAATGTAGCGGCCCTCCACAAGATTGAGCCCCTGCGACGAAGGCTCTATGAGGGGGAGAATTCAAGCAACTCAGCACAACTCCTAGGGATGACCATAAAAAAAAAAACTCCTTCAGCAATAAGGACCAGATCTGTCGAAATTGGTTAAGCGCTGACTGATATTTGGTTTATCAACGATAAACCACCTAGTTAATTAGTAATAAACCATAAATCAAGATATCACTGATTAACCACCTCTTTTTTTTTGGGGGGGGGGGGGGGGGTAAAAAAACAAAACTTCACTGAACGAAAGAAAAGTACAAAGAGTCATTTTCCTATGAAATGCTAAAGAACGGCCATTTACTTTGAAATTAAGGCATTTAAAAAATAACTGACTGACTGAGTGAAAGCATAACAACATAAAAACAAAAAATAAAGATCAAGATAAATATTAAAACTGGAGGACGGTAGATTACCTCCTCAGCAACATAGAAGAAGAAGTTAACAAGATCGCCTGGCACTCCAGGAAACCGCGCACGCAGCTCTTCTCTCTGAAAACAAAGTTCACGAAGGTAATAATATAGTGACAGCCAAATCTAACAGAAAGCGACTAACTTATTGAGTAACAATCTTCCATATACCTGACTGGCGACACCAACTGGACAATTATTTGTGTGGCAAATACGGGCCATGACACATCCAGTAGCTATCATTGCAACAGAACCAAAGCCATACTCGTCAGCACCCATAGCTGCAGCCATCATAACATCTACTCCGCTTTTCAAGCCACCATCCACTCTGAGAATAACTCTTTCTCTAAGACCATTTTCAATAAGTATCTGTAAAATCATTTCAAATATTATTAGTAACAGAAGGGCCTCAAAAGTAATCAATCAGAATAGAAATCAACAGTATAAAATTTCCAACTTTAATATAATAACCTGGTGTGTTTCTGTAATTCCAAGCTCCCAGGGACCACCGGCATGCTTAATAGAACTTATAGGGCTCGCTCCAGTACCGCCATCATGCCCGGATATCTGTCCAAGCAAATTAATATTAATCAATATTTTTGTCTTAGGTGTTGTTCAAGGATTTCCTCGTAATACAAGTACACGCAAAGATAAAAGCTAATTTCAAAGTTAAATTGATGTATAAAAAAAAAAGAGGCTTTGTTGAGGACATAGTAAAAGATCATCACAAACATGCATAAATTGAGCCCTTCAATAATAAGAAATACAAAAAAAGAGGTGCAACGAAACATAAATATTTTGACAAATTTTCAGTATCCTCAGTACATGGTGAGTCTTTTATGTGACAATGCAAATTTCAAATATAAGTTGCCAAGTTGGCTGATAAAACTTGTCCTTTCTCTCAACGATTATTCTAGTTTTAACCAACTTGTCAGCGATATTATAATAATTAATAAACAAACAAACGAATTAAATTTATGTCGAAGACCTAGGGTTTTTTAAAGTTAGGAAATTATCTCTTAAGGAGATTATCATTCTAAAAGTTAGGAGTTATCTCTTCCTTGATTCTGTTTTTTAAATTTAGAAATCCGGATAGAATGTTTGATTAGGTCTAGATAAGGATGACTTGGAATCCAATTAGGATTTCATCATCTGGATAGATTTTCTAAGTTAGTTTTATGCCTATAAATAGCTTCTAAATTCGGCATATTAATAATAAGAAAGTAAGTTCTTTTTCTTCTAAAAAACTACATGGTATCAGAGCTAGCTCTTAAATTTTAATGGCAAAGACTGCCATGACCAGAGCAAGTAGAACCTTTGCTTCTTCAAGGGATTCTGCAGAGAATGAGCAGTCCGGAACCACTGCCATGACCAGCGGCACAAATCCATTAGCAGCATATGCAAATCCTTCTCTTCAGATCACTGTTCACAAATTAAATGGCAAGAATTACCTAGAGTGGGCTCAGTCCATGAAGCTCGCAATTGATGGAAGAGGGAAACTTGGCCATTTAACCGGAGAGGTAAAAAAACTAGCAGTGGGTGATCCGAATCTGAAGTTATGGCGATCCGAGAACTCTTTGATAATGGCGTTCCGAGAACTCTTTGATAATGACGTGGCTCATCAACTCAATGGAGCCAGCTATTGGGAAACCTCATCTATTCTTACCAACTGCCAGAGATATGTGGGAAGCTGTATGTGAGATGTACTCAGACCTAGAAAACTCATCACAAATCTTTGAACTACAAACGAAGCTGTGGCAATCCAGGCAGGGAGATCGAGATGTCACAACATACTACAATGAGATGGTGACTTTATGGCAAGAATTGGATTTGTGTTATGAAGATTAATGGGATTGTCCTACTGATAGTGTGCGGCATAAGAAAAGAGAGGAGAATGATCTAGTTTACATGTTTCTAGTAGGACTCAATTAAGAATTAGATGAAATAAGAGGAAGGGTCTTAGGAAAAAAACCCTTACCATCTATCAGAGAAGTGTTTTCAGAAGTTAGGAGAGAGGATGCTAGGCGAAGAGTGATGCTAAAAACCCAAGAACCGAAGCTCAATCCTGAAGCAAAAAGTTCGGCTCTAGTCTCTAGAGGATTTGATCCAGAGGAAGAAAAGAAAAAGAAACCATGGTGTGATCACTGCAAAAAACCATGGCATACAAAGGAAACATGCTGGAAACTTCATGGCAAACCGAAGAATTTAAAAAGAAGAATGGAGGTGATGGCAAAGCATTCCAAACCATGAGTGAGGATTCTCAAAGGCAATAAATCAACTCGGAAATAACTCAGTTCACAAAGGAACAACTAGACCATCTGTACAAACTCTTTCAATCTTCACAATTTTCAAATTCTTCTTGTTCTTTAGCTCAAAAGGGTAATTATCTCATTACAACTCTCTCTAGTATAAAATCTAATATGTTTTGTCCATGGATTATTGACTCTGGAGCCACAGATCACATGACTGGCTCTTCAAAACTATTTTCATCCTACAAACAGTGTGCAGGGAATAAAAAGATCAAAATTGCAGAGGGATCCTTTTCAGCCATAGCTGGAATAGGATCAGTCAGCGTTTCTCCATCTCTCACACTTCATAATGTCCTCCATGTTCCAAATTTGTCTTGTAACTTATTATCCATAAGCAAAATAACTCATGATCATAAGTGTCAAGCTAACTTCTATCCATCTTATTGCGAGTTCAGGAACTAACCTCGGGGAGGACGATTGGCAGTGCTAGAGAGATTGGTGGACTTTATTTCTTTGAAGATGGATCCAAATCAAGAAGACCAACACATAGTACTTGTCTTGAATCTATTTCTATTACTAGTAGGGATGAAATAATGATGTGGCATTATAGGTTAGGTCACCCTAGTTTTCAATATTTAAAACATTTGTTTCCAAACTTATTTAGCAATAAAAATCCATCTTCATTTCAGTGTGAATTTTGTGAATTAGCTAAACATCATCGTACCACATTTTCATTACAACCATACAAGGCTTCAAAACCTTTTTCATTAATACATAGTGATGTATGGGGGCCTTCACGGATCACAACACCATCGGGAAAGAGATGGTTTGTCACTTTCATAGATGATCACACAAGGGTAAGTTGGGTTTACTTACTAAAAGAAAAGTCAGATGTAGAGGTGTTCAAAAATTTTTACATAATGGTGATGACACAATTTCAAACAAAAATTCAAGTTTTTCGAAGTGATAATGGAAAAGAGTATTTTAACAAGATTTTGGGAAAATTCTTCCTAGAAAAAGGCATAGTTCACCAGAGCTCATGTAATGACACCCCCAACAAAATAGAATAGCTGAACGAAAGAATAAACACCTCCTAGAAGTAGCTAGAGCACTACATTTCACAAATAAGGTCCCGAAGTATCTTTAGGGGGAAGTTATCCTCACAGCCACCTACCTTATCAATAGGATGCCAACTAGGGTGTTGAAACTCAAAACACCATTACAGGTATTTTCAAGTTGCTATCCAAAAAATCTAGGTTATCATCTACACTTCCTATAAAAATTTTTGGATGCACAGCCTTTGTACACATTCATGATCATAACTGGGGAAAACTTGACCCTAGAGCTAAAAAATGTGTTTTTGTAGGTTATGCACCGACTCAAAAAGGTTATAAATGCTTTGATCCAATTTCTAAGAAAATGTTTGTTACCATGGATGTAACCTTTTTTGAATCTAAACCCTTTTTCGCTACTCATCTTCAGGGGGAGAGTACAAGTGAAGATGTAACCAAATTAGGAATTAATGATGTTTTTGATGTTTTTGAAATAGAATCAACACATACTCCTAATATTGAGACTAAAAATTCGGATTCACATGTTAAAAAACCGGAAAATATGTATGCAACAAACGATGTTTTACATATTGAAAATTCCAGCAGTCTACTGCCATGTCAAAATCAGAATCTTAACAGCTCAGAAAATGGGAACAAGACTGGTACTAAGAATACAGATCTCTTGGTCTATTCAAGGAGGAACTGCATTCAAAGAAACAAGGTCCCGATCCTCTACAAGGCCATGAGTCCGAACTGAGGGAAGAACCAACACCAGGTAACAATCAATCTGATTCTTTGTTAAATTCCAGTCCCGAGCCCCTTGGTGATTCCATACAGTCTATCCCTAGTGCTAGTACTGAGTCATTTGATGATCTCAATATTCCGATTGCCACCCGCAAGGGTGTCCGGTCATGCACTAAACATCCCATGTCTAACTATGTGTCATATAAGAATCTTTCTCCTTCATTTTTTTCATTTACCTCACATCTCACTTCTGTGGAAATTCCAAAGAATGTACAAGAAGCTTTACAAGTTCCTGAGTGGAGGAAAGCAATTCTGAAGAGATGAAAGCACTTGAGAAGAATCACACATGGGAAGAAACGGATCTGCCAAGAAGGAAGAAAACAGTTGGCTGCAAATGGGTGTTCACCATCAAGTATAATTCTGATGGATCTCTCGAAAGGTATAAAGCACGGTTGGTGGCTAAAGGGTTTACTCAAACCTATGGCATTGATTATCTCGAGACCTTTGCTCCGGTGGCAAAGCTGAATACCGTATGAGTACTTCTTTCAATTGCAGCAACTCTTGATTGGCCGCTTCAACAGTTAGAAGTGAAGAACACATTTCTAAACGGAGAATTGGAAGAAGAAGTTTATATGGATCCACCGTCTAGATTTGATAAGCACTTTGGTTCTAAGGTGTGTAAGCTAAGAAAATCACTCTATGGACTCAAACAATCCCCAAGAGCCTGGTTTGAACGATTCACTCAGTCTATCAAAAATCAGGGATATGTCCAAGCCCAAAGTGACCACACTATGTTCATCAAGCACTCCGGTGACGGGAAAATTGCAGTTTTGATAGTCTACGTGGATGATATCATCCTTACTGGAGATAATTCTGCTAAAATGAGTCGTTTGAAGGAAAGTCTAGCTTCAGAATTCGAGATCAAAGACTTGGGATCTTTAAAATATTTTCTGGGAATGGAAGTTGCTCGTTCAAAAAAGGGTATGCTGTCTCACAAAGGAAATACGTCCTTGACCTCCTTAAAAAAACAGGAATGAGTGGATGTAGGCCTGTTAATACCCCAATGGACCCTAACCAGAAGTTGGGAGATGCCAAAGATAGATCCGGTAAATACAACACGATATTAGAAGTTGGTAGGAAAACTCATTTACCTATCTCATACCACACCAGACATTGCGTTCGCAGTTAGTATGGTAAGTCAATTCATGCACTCACCACATGAAGAACACCTTGAGGCAGTATATCGAATCCTAAGGTATTTGAAAAGCATTCCAGGGAAAGGACTCCTCTTCGACAAACACGAGCAGAAAACAATTGAAGCATACACAGATGCAAATTGGGCGGATTTCGTCACAGACAGAAGATCTACATCTGGATATTGCACTTATGTTTGGGGAAACTTAGTCACTTGGAGGAGCAAGAAACAAAGTGTAGTAGCTCGAAGTAGTGCAGAAGCTGAGTACTGGGCAATGGCTCATGGAATATGTGAAATGTTGTGGTTAAAAAGGATTCTTGAGGAATTGAAGAAACCAATAGAGATGCCTATGAAACTCTACTGTGACAACAAGGCTGCGATCAGTATTGCTCACAACCCAGTGCAACATGACAGAACTAAACACGTTGAAATTGACAGACATTTCATAAAAGAGAAGCTAGAAGAAGGTGCTATCTGTATGCCGTTTGTTCCAACAACACAACAAATAGTTGATATTCTCACGAAGGGATTATTCAGACCAAGCTTTGAGTTTCTTATCAGCAAGTTGGGCATGATAAATATCTATGCACCAACTTGAGGGGGAGTGTCGAAGACCTACGGTTTTTTAAAGTTAGGAAATTATCTCTTAAGGAGATTATCATTCTAAAAGTTAGGAGTTATCTCTTCCTTGATTCTGTTTTTTAAATTTAGAAATCCAGATAGAATGTTTGATTAGGTCCGGATAAGGATGACTTGGAATCCAATTAGGATTTCATGATTAGGATAGATTTTTTGAGTTAGTTTTATGCCTATAAATAGCTTCTAAATTCCGCATATTAATAATAAGAAAGTAAGTTCTTTTTCTTCTAAAAAACTACAATATAACATACTTATATCTCAATCACTAAAAGTTTTTTAACTATTGAGGATCTCAGCCTTTCCATTTCTAGAAGCAGAATGACAAAAGAAATACATTCTTCTTGAATTCTAGGCACCAATTATTGTACCTTCTAATTATTTTGCATAAAAACTCAACAAATATAGGAGTTATAGTCACCTCAAACTCGTTGAACTTTCTATCCTCTCTAATCTTAGGTTTTTTGAGTTAGCTACCTGTAGCATCCCATTAGCTGTGGGTAGATGCAGTAACTTAATATCCAAAGAGAGAAAGGGGAAAGAAGCACCCAAAAGTAGAAAAAAGAAAATCATTATATGCTTGCTCTCCTAACCCATAGCAGGACTGAAATTTGTGTTAAAACAGACAGATACCTGTATGATATCAGCATTAGCCTTCGCAACACCAGAAGCAACTGTGCCGATTCCAGCTTGCGCTACAAGTTTTACAGACACCTTAGCCTTAGGGTTCACCTGTCCACGTAGTATAATTGGTGATCATTTCTCAGAAATTGCAAATATCTGTTAAACAATTAAGGCCATCCAGTTTTCTGTAGATCATCACCTGATGAAGGTCAAAAATCAACTGCGCAAGATCCTCTATGGAGTAAATGTCATGATGTGGAGGAGGAGATATAAGGGGTACACCTGGTTTGGAGTTTCTTAACCTTGCAATATATGCACTAACTTTTTTACCAGGCAATTGACCACCTTCGCCGGGTTTTGCACCTTGTGCAATCTTGATTTCTAACTGGTCAGCATTGGCCAAGAATGTTGGAGTAACACCAAAGCGTCCTGAAGCAACCTGAAGAACAAGTTCTTTTGAGAAACTGCTTATTGAAATTGCAGAGTATAAGATACCCTCAACCAGTATTTCCAACCCCCCTCCCCCTCTCATAAGAAAAGAAAAAACATTGTTTAACGTCAACCAAATGAACATAACCACATTCAGCTTCATAATCTCAAATATCTCTACACCTTATGAATTACACGATAAAATAGCCATAGATGTGAGCAATACAGCTCCACAGATTGCCCACAATCACATTATGGAAAACATTTAGACATGTTTTCAAATAGAGAGTACAAATTGGTGACCTGCTTGATAGCACTTGTAGCTGTGTCCCCGTTTTGAAGACCTTTGAGATGTGGAAGTGTGGGAGAGTACCCATCAACAACATCTGTAAGTGGTTTCCAGCGAATAGGATCCTAAACAGTAAACATAGACATCGATTTAAGTTCCATGCTTTCAAAGTAATTATAATGGTTGAGACAGAAATGAGAGACAGAACTGATACATCCTAAAAGACTGCAAAATGTCCATAGAAAAAGGTGAACAAACTACCTCACCACCTTCCCCTGAATTAGATTTCCCTCCTATTCTGTTCATTGCAATGGCAATTGCCTCGTGAGTTTCTCTTGAAATAGCTCCAAGTGACATACCACCAGTGCAGAAGCGCTGAACAATGGAGGCAGCTGGTTCAACCTTTCCCACAGGAATTGGGGCACGATCACTTTTGAACTCGAGAAGATCTCGGAGAACCTATTGTTAAATTTAAATAATATAAGTTAACCTTGCAAGTAAATTAGTATTCCAACTTCCATGTCACAATTTTGAAATGAAAAAACACGTATGCAAATAAATAAATATATAAATATATAAAACCCAATGACTCACATTCACAGGCCTGTTAGCCAAATGTTGCTGATAAACTGAAAAGGCACTTTCACTCTTTTGACGAACAGCTTTGTGGAGCAATTTTGACATTTCCGGGTTGTTTCCATGATACTCCCCTTGGGATAGGTAAATATGCAGGAAGTAGAAAACACTTAATATAAAATTCAAGAAAGACTACCAACATTTGATAGACTTTCTACATTTAAGTGACACCATCATTTTGTGAAATTTGAAACAGATCCTCGTTTTACAACCAAAGCCAGCATATATTCACCTTTAATTTAAATGGTTATTGAAACTTGAACCAGGTTAATTTATCCAACAAAGAAGTGACACTCTACAAGTTTATACATTAGGAAGCATGAGTTACTACTGACTAAACAAGCATATCTAATAAGACTGATACCTCCTGGTCTGAACTGTATAAATCCAAAATTCTCTAGTCGTTTAGCTGTGTCCTCAGAGAAAGCCTTTACCCAGAAGGACAAAGTCTCCCTTGCCAGCTGTGGGGGTAAAAAGAAAAAAAAAAGGCAAAAAAAAAAAATTCTAGGAAGTGAGTTGCAGATCTCATGTAATAACTTGAGAAAAGTATGGATACAAGTTTACTCAATAAACATGATAGTCCATAAAGAAACACAGCTCAGTCAATTCCCTAGTTTCCTATTTTAATTGCATTACATGCTCCTCTAAATGAGCACAATTTAAAGACCAGAAGTGTTTGCCTGATTCACCACAAAGGGCCGGCTCAGTTGTCTTTTGACAACTTCCTCCCTGACCAACCCAAAGTTGGAAACAGATAGTCCATCTTTTATAGCAACTGAATAAGTATTCCAATCAATAGTACAACTAAGAAGCTATATCTAGCGCTCAATTTATAACATAGAACAAATCAAGAACCTTCTAGAAAAGTAGCATATGTACCCACAGAGAAATGGAACTTATAGGCAGTTATAGCAACCCGAATACTCGATGTGTTTATTGATAACAGAAACTAGAATAAAGAAAACAAGAAGGATACAGAAACAAAAGTAGGGCGACGTGAATTTTTTGATTTCAAAGGGAAGGGAAAGAAAATAAGGTAATTGTGTGATCTCCAAGGGAAAATAGCGTAAGAGCTTATGTTAGCTTCTAGTTTGTTTTAGTTTGAAATTTCTATCAGCTTTATAATATTTTTGTTTCTGAGGAATCTTGTCCTTACTTTCTTTTCTAATTGATATTTAAGAGAGAGAGAGAGAGAGAGAGAGAGAGAGAGAGAGAACGTGACTTCAAAAGAAACAGGAAAAAGTGTGCATTGAAAAGAATAATAAAAAAATTAAAAAACATAAAAAAAAGGTCTGCATTTTAGTTGGGAGAGGAGTACAATTGTCCTACAGATATGGGAGTTTATGCAAGCTGGTCCCGTAGTGTTAGTAATAAACTATACAGCAGCATACTTTAGAAAACTGGCACTCGAATTCTACTTTCAGCAGTTTCTCATCAACAAGGATGACTCTTCAGTGCATATATTTCTTCGAGTATATCTATTATTAAGCAGGAAAAAAATTTGTGATAGCAATGTAAAGATATACACACACACGCAACAAACACGTATGCAAATCTTGTTCATACACGTGTATTAACCATGTGGCTAACTCAAAAGGGTTACATCAGTTTGCTATTGTGCGCCTCACCTCATCAAAAGTCAATCCACCAATACTCGACACACTCCCACGGAATGCATAATCAACAACCTCCTTCCCTAATCCATAAATTTCAAAAATCTGCGCACCACAGTAACTATAAATGGGAAGCCGGTCAGTGCATTTATTAATGCATGCGAGAAATAAAGCAGCATAAAAAATAATGAAAGCAGTCACAATCTAGTTAATTAAAGAAAAAGAAAGGTAGAAGCTTTTACTTGTTAGACAAGAAACAAAGAAAAGTTAAAAAGAATCGGCACTTGTACCTTGACAGCAATGAGATGCCCATTTTTGAAAGAATTTTGAGAAGACCTGATTTGACAGCCTGAGATGCCAAGGACCAGTCAGTTTAATGTACTCAACATATAGGTGGACTATATTTCCAGTGTAGAAAGTAGAAATAACAAAGCTCAAAGCTTATAAAAGCAAAGACTGAAATAAATGAATTACAAAAGTACAGAAACCAAGAATTTTGATCAAATTAGAGAAGGACATTAGTAACTGCATTTTTCATTCTAATTTGTAACTAAGTTGCATAAACCTAAATGTTCACGGATGTCTTAGCGTTTTCAGATCCCTATTTTTTCTCCAGCCTTGTCCTTTTTGTGCACAGGTGCCTGTTTGTATAAGAGTACCTTTCTTCTCTTATTCTAAATATTTTCTAATATATTGCATGATGGTAGGTTGGTCAACAATATGCCTTGGTATATAACTAACCTAAATGTAAACAAGCTGCCTACACCAAGAAATAAATCTGGTTCAGTGACTTCTTCGTGTAAACCCAGGTTCATGCACATTCCTTGCAAGCTCCAGACCTCAAAGCTATTTAAGTTTGTTCTAAGCTATTCAAAACCTCAAAGATCCTCATGAAAGCTTACTGAGCAAGAAAGACCACAGCGCTAACAACAATCATTGGGAGACCTCAGTTTGTCCAGCAAAGTTCATTACACACATGTAACGTGTTATATAATGTTAGTTTACCAATCCATCCCAAAAGCTTAAGCTGTTAGGAGGCGAGCCAACAATAGCTTTATACTTTAACACTCCCCCTCACGTGTGAGCTGGACAATGGGCAATCATGTGGGTAAATTAATTGGAAAGCCCAACACGTGAATATTTAAGCCCGAGATATATTAAAGACCCAGCACATGATAACAATTTTAAATGGGGATAAAGAGTGCAATTACGGGGGTTTGAATCCAGGACCTCCCGCTCTAATACCATGTTAGTTTACCAATCCATCCCAAAAACTTAAGCTGTTAGGAGGTGGGCCAATAATAGTTTTATACTTTAACATATAACTTGATATGAAGACCAATATCTCAATATGGTACAAAAATAATAATTTGAACTCTCAAAAATGTCGCGCTGAAAATTTCCAACGCACTATTTTAACTTTCAAAATCAATGTACTGACCTTGCCGAAGTTCTTTTGAGCCTGTTCAATAGTCACAGTAGGCATCTTTCCATTGCGCATTAAATTTACTGTTTTATTACTCAGACGCCACTGCCGACATGTCTCCAGTGCCAAATATGGGCAGACAGCACTGTAACATTATCAAGTCGAATGTTATGCATTTTGTTAAAGGAATACACACAGCACTGTCGCCGTGTCTCATGACAAATTAACCTAAAGAAGGGAGCGGGAGGGGAGGACCTTGCACCATATCCAATCAAGCAGGCAAAGTGATGAGTGCTGAAGCACTGAGCAGTGTCAGCTACAATAGAAGCTGACATTCTCAAGCCATTCTGAATAAGATGCTGATGAACAGCTCCAACAGCAAGAAGAATAGGAATTGCTGGGCGAGTTGGTTCCTGAAGATAAATTAAATTCATGACTGCACATTAGAACTCAATGAAAAGATTCATGTCGTGCAGTAAAATCAATGACTAGAGCAAGTGGAGACGAATTAGGATAGAGAACAATAAATGAATTTTGTTTGTGGGTAACGACGATTCTGGATCTTTCTGATGCAAGATGGTATTCCAACATCAATAGTAAAAAGTAGATCATATCACAAAGTTTACCATTTGGTTTGGTATTTCGTGCAAGATGATATCTTACCATCAAAGCTTTGTAGCCAACTACAAAGAGAAGAAAAATGCTGATCTAAACACAGCACCAAGGAAATAGAAATTTTTGGTAATTTCTATTTTATGAGTACTCTCAAGTAATATCTCTTGAATGAACAATAAAAAAATAAAAAAAAATGAGAGAAATTGTCAGCTCGACTTTTTTTCCCTCCTGGGAAAGGGATAATAAATCAAATATGTTTACAACTGAAGGACCTAATGCAAGAAAAAATATAACTGGAGGTCAACAATGCCAATTTCAGTTTTGGAATATATTCTTCGGCTTTGGGCTTTGTTTCTTCAAAAAAGGACACAGGAAAAAAATTAAAAAAAAAAGAAAAAAAAGATTGAAGAGAGATAAAAGACAAGCAGAGGGCAAAGTAAAAATGATTCTTACCAGCTCATCAGACCGGTCAGAGAGAACAAGCAAGTGGGAACCATTTCGCACCGCTTCATCAGCAGCTTCACAGAGTCTGTTCAGCGTCCTTTCAATGGAACCTTCTACCCCTTTACGAATATCAAAAAATGTTGGTAAAACTTGGGGTTTTAACTGAGGATCCTTCAGCAGTGACTCAAGCTCTCCTTCATTAAGTACAGGACTGGACAAGATAACCTGAGGACAAGAAAAGAAATAATGCTCAGTCTCATATATAACCTTCTTTTCAACAAAAACGATACATAAGAGATAAGAATGACTAACAAACCTTTTTTTTTTTTTTATAAGAAACTGAGATATTTTATTAAATAAAGGAAGGATTAACAAACCTGTGAAGCATTTTCAGGTCCAACCTCCAATATATTTCCTCGTTTCCCAATGTTGACTTCAAGAGACATGACTAATCCTTCTCTGAGAGGATCAATAGCTGGATTTGTAACCTGAAAGCATTTAATGAGTTACTTTAGGCTCAAAGGATTGAGATTGACAGAGGTTGGAACTAAGAGAAAAGAAAATAATTTACATTTATTATAAGAGTACTGAAATATCCGTAGTTCGTATTCTAAATATGTAGCTATGAGATTTAGACTACATTACTTCTTAAAAGAAATAGAAGTAGGATACAAGCATTAAGAGTAGCATATAAATTTCATTACTTAACCAGTAATCAAATAAGCTCAATGGCACATGCCCCAAAAAGATACAATAAATAAATAACCAAACCAACCTGTGCAAACCGTTGTTTAAAATAATCATAAAGCATGTGAGATTTTTGTGATATTGCTGCCAATGGAATATCATCTCCCATACAAAATGTTGGCTCCTTCCCTTGTGCAGCCATAGACTCGATAACCATCTGAACGTCCTCGCTTGAGTAACCAAATGCCCTGCTCCGGCCAAGATAGAGTAAAAAGAAGCATTTTATAAGCGGTGCGCAAAAAACTAGATCATTGGCTGTAATAAAATAACTAGAAACAAGTTTCACCGTCACCTCACTAGAAACTTGATACTTCAGGAGGATGTCAATCTATCCAACTTCGTGAATGCAATATGATCTAGTAGTAATTTACTCTCTACTCTGAATAGAACTCAAATCTAAAAAATATACATAAACATAAGCATATGCATCACAGTCCCAACTACATACAACTTTCGTTCTTCTCACCCAACAATTTTCTCAAAGATATTATCTTTTGTCAAATTCATCTACATGTTGTGATCCATTTCATAAACTGTTATAATTATTTGACAAGAAATAAACTTAGGGTGTTATTCTTTCTGAAAGTAATTGAATTTGAAGCTAAATGATTGGTCCAAGATTTTGAATAAGTGAACATGTAAAGCCGTGCCAGAACTCAACAAGAGGTGAGTTTAAGAATGCAGGTATCGTATACTCTATTCTATATTTAACATCTCCAGCAAATGGAATCTCCGATGGCCTTATTCAGTCCATTACTGGGCATAAACTCAATGGCCAAAACTATCTTCATTGATCACAATCCGTTATGATGTTTGTCTGTGGAAAAGGGAAAGAAGATAATCTTTCTGGAGCAACAACACCACTGGAAGAAAAAGATCTTAAGTATAAACTTTGGAAGGCCGAAAACAACATGGTCATGTATTGGCTTATCAATTCCATGACCAACGAGATTGGGGAGAATTTCCTATTGTATGGGACCGCCAAAGAAATCTGGGACGCAGCCAAAGAGACATACTCCAATTTCGACAACTCATCCGAGTTGTTTGCCGTGGAGAGCATTCTCCATGATCTGCGTCAAGGTGATCTTTCTATGACTCAATATTTTAACACCCTTACAAGGAATTGGCAGCAATTGGACATGTTTGAAGAACACGATTGGAAGTGCCCTGAAGATGGAATGAAATACAAGAAGATCATTGAGAAGAAAAGACTTTATAAGTTCGAGGAAGAATCATGGGGATGAAACCACTGCCGAGTGTTCGAGAAGCTTTTTCGGAAGTCCGCATGGAAGAGAGTCGAAAGAGGGTGATGATGGGACCTACAGTCACTGCTCACAACCCAAAAGCATCCGCCCTTATTGTCAGGGGCCCCAACACCAAGTTGGAGACTCAAAAGCAAGGAGAGGACGATCTTGGTGTGATCATTGCCGTAAACTCGGTCACACAAAGGAGAACTGCTGGAAAATTCATGAAAAACTAGCAGATTGGAAACCGGCAAGGCCAAACAACAGAGAAGGACGCAGCAATCTCGTCTCCAGCAAAGCAAACCCTCCACAAACCGAGCAGAATCTGTTCAACAAAGAGCAAATGGAATTTCTGCAGAAACTGATCAACCCGCACCATGCCAATACCTCAGAAGTTGGAACCGTGTCCCTAGCTCATAAAGGTAATCTCCTAAATGCCCTCAATACAACTCGAGAGATGTATAGACCGTGGATTGTGGATTCAGGAGCCTCCGACCATATGTCTGGAAACGCAAGGTTGTTCACCACTTATAGTCCTTGTCATGAGAACTTTACTGTCAGGATTGCAGATGGATCACGCTCAGGAGTCATAGGGAAAGGATCCGTAGTTGTATCAAAGGACCTTACCTTAAACTCCGTATTTTTAGTCCCAAATTTGGATTGCAATCTCCTATCAATTAGTAAACTCACTCATGAGCATAATTGTGTTGCTAATTTTTTCCAAAACTCTTGTAAATTTCAGGACCTGGATTCGGGGAAGATGATTGGCAACGCTAAGATGTGCTCGGGGCTCTATATCCTCAAGAATGACCATCCACGAGAACAACAAACTCACATGGCAGATTCGGACATGCCAAATCAGCAACTTACAAAATTTTCTTGTTCTGTTTTTCAATCCAATAATGATAGTGCAATCATGTTATGGCACTATAGGTTAGGCCATCCAAACTTTGTTTACCTTCAAAAACTTGTTCCTTCATTATTCATCAATAAAAGTCCAAAAGATTTTCAGTGTGATATTTGTCAATTTGCTAAACACACTCGTAGTTCATACTCAATTCAACCATACCGAAAATCCAATCCATTTTCAATGATTCACAGTGATGTATGGGGACCATCTCGCGTTAAAAACATCACTGGAACAAGATGGTTTGTGTTGTTTGTCGATGATCATACTACGATTACTTGGGTATTTCTCATGAAAGAAAAATCAGAAGTTGAACAAATCTTCAAGAATTTTAATACCATGATTCAAACCCAATTTCACACCAAAATACAAATATTCCGCACATATAATGCCAGGGAATACTTCAAACATTTTCTCGGGAAATACCTACAAAATCAAGGTATTATACACCAAAATTCTTGTGTTGATACCCCTCAACAAAATGGGGTGACAGAAAGAAAAAATACACATATGTTCTCCACCCACGTTCCAAAACATTTTTGGGGGGAAGCCGTACTCACAGCAACCCATCTCATAAACCGAATGCCCTCACGAATCCTAAACTTTCAAACCCCATGTCAATCTCTTCTTCTTTCATACCCAAAGACCGGACTTCTCTCAACCATTCCACTCAAAGTGTTTGGTTGCTCTGCGTTTGGTCACGTCCATCAACAACACAGAAGCAAACTTGATCCTAAATCCCTCAAATGTATTTTTCTCGGTTACAGCCCAAATCAAAGAGGGTACAAATGTTATTCCCCGGTCACAAAGCGATTCTACACCTCAATGGATGTTACATTCTTTGAAAATACACCATACTTTCCCAAATCAGCTAATTCAAGGGGAGAATGTACAAGAATACCAGCTTTGGGACATAGATGTTCCATCATCGAGTCATCCTTCAAACCCAGTCACTGGTCCGGCCATCACCACCACTGGTTCGGCCATCACCACCACCATGTCTGTCCCAAACTTCCAATCCGAAACCACTATTTCAGATGTCCTCCCAACCTCAACTCCTATCCAACGTCCGAAGCCTGCCAACAATGGTGAGTTCATTGTATATTCCCTAAGGAAGAAAAACCCAAGAGGATGTAGAGCAACAAGCACCTCCTGAGCAGCGTCAAGAGGCTGAACCGGATCCAAGAGTTCTTGAGACTCTATCACCAAGTAACACTAGCTCTGTGAACATTATAGATAAGCCTATTGTTGATGATCTTGATTGTCCAATTGCATTAAGGAAAGGAGTGCGATCTTGTACTAGTCATCCAATTCACAATTTTGTATCTTATAAAAAATTGTCGCCGAACTATCATACTTTTGTGGCAAAATTAGACAAGGTGCAGGTTCCTAACTTCATCCACGAAGCCCTGTCTATTCCAAAATGGAAAACAGCAGTATGGGAAGAAATGAAGGCTCTAAAGAAGAACGGAACTTGGGAAATTTTGGAGCTACCAAATGGGAAGCGTACAGTGGGGTGCAAGTGGATATTCACTGTCAAATACAAGGCAGATGGTAATGTGAATAGGTTTAAAGCACGGCTGGTTGCTAAAGGGTTCACTCAAGCATATGGCATTGATTATCAAGAGACCTTTGCTCCAATAGCCAAATTGAATACTATTCGGGTATTACTTTCATTGGCTACAAATCTTGATTGGCCTCTCTACCAACTTGATGTTAAGAATGCCTTCCTTATTGGGGACCTTATAGAAGAAGTTTACATGGATGTCCCTCCTGGTTTTGAGTCTCACGCTACTATAAATAAGGTATGCAAGCTCAAGAAGTCCCTTTATGGATTAAAATAATCTCTCAAAGCATGGTTTGACAGGTTCAATAAGATAGTAAGGAAGTATGGATACTCACAATGCCAGGTAGATCACACACTCTTTGTTAAGCACTCATCGGAAGGGAAGATAGCAATTCTCATTGTATATGTGGATGACATCATTCTCACGGGAGACAATGAAGATGAATTGTTCAAACTCAAGGTACTACTTGCCAAGGAATTCGAAACCAAGGATCTTGGAAACCTAAAATATTTCCCTGGAATGGAAGTAGCTCGATCAAGAAATGGAATTTCGGTGTCACAGCGGAAATATGTGTTGGATCTTCTTAGGGAGACAGGCATGCTTCGGTGTAAGCCAGCTGAGACTCCTTTGGACTCAGGTACCAAACTTGGAGCAAAGGAAGGAAGTACTCCAGTGGAAAAAGGGCGATACCAGAGACTTGTGGGGAAGCTGATTTATCTTTCCCACACTAGACCAGACATTGGGTTCGCAGTTAGTGTGATAAGCCAATTCATAAATGAACCTACTGAGGAACACATGGAGGCTATCAATCGAATATTGAGATATCTAAAAATGACACTAGGCAAGGGATTATACTTCGGAAAAACAACAAGAATAGACATTGAAGTATTTGCAGATGCTGATTGGGCAAGATCTATAACTGATCGGAGGTCTACCTCTGGTTTATTGCACGTATGTGTGGGAAAACCTAGTTACTTTGCGAAGTAAGAAACAACCAGTAGTGTCATGGAGTAGTGCAGAAACAGAATTCAGAGCACTGGCACTTGGCATTTGTGAAGGTTTATGGCTAGACAGGTTACTCAATGAATTAAGGATTGGTATCCCATCTCCTATGAAGGTATTTTGTGACAATCAATCAGCTATCAATATAGCTAAAAATCCTATTCATCATGATCGAACAAAACACGTGGAGATAGATCGTCACGTCACTAAAGAAAAAATATACAACGGGGTCATGAGTTTACTACACATCTCTACAAGTCAACAAATAGCATATATTCTCACTAAAGCTCTGCCAAGGAAGAATTTTGAAGAAGTGAGCTCCAAGCTCGGCTAATCAACATTTACGCCTAGCTTGAGGGGGAGTGTAGAAATACTCGATTAGGATATTCAAGGATTCTGGAATAGTTGACAAAAGTAAATTAGGAATAAAGAGATTTGGAATCATTCCCAATATCTCTATTTGGTAG